TTTTGCCAAGTGTCTGGTGGGCTTGAACTGCCAACCTTGTGGTTTGGAGTCCATTGCTTATCCCATAGAGTGAACTTGCACCATAAAATGATGTTTACTTGTGCTTTATTGACTATGCAAAGGTGTTCAACTGTGTGGCTCAACTGTGTGGGCTGCTAACCTCAAGGTCAGCTGTTCAAACTCACCAGCTGCTCCTTGGAAACCCTAGACAAGGTTGCTTTGAGTCAGAACTGACTCCATGGTACTTGACAACCACAGCAAATCCCTTTTCCGTTTCCTTCTTTTCTCTCTTGCTTGTCTAGATGTATGTCCAGTATCTGCCCTCATGGTATCCCAGGGAACTAGGATTGCCAGATTTAGCAAATAAGAATGAAAAAGATCCTGTTAAATTTGACTGTCACAGAAACAGTGAATAATTTGTCTTCCAGTATTTGCATATTTATTACACGATTTATACTAAGGCTATATGTAAACACGTTTTATAACAAATATAAAATTATATATAATAATATTCATTTTTGTTTAAAACATTTTTCTATAAAATTTATCCCTTGTTCTTCTACATCAGAGGCATCTGGCCCTGTTGATGAGTCTAGATCTATGGGCATAGCGCCCAGTCACACCCCATCCCTCCCTATTTTCTGCTCAGGGTAGCCAGCCTGATTAACCACAGTACATATTGTTGAACATTTGATGGATGCTTGGCACCAAATCAGCATGTAGCACATTGAAAGACCCGAATGTATGGCCACAAGGAGTCGAGAGACCAAGCAAGATCTACTGGAGAGTTGGGCCTGGCCCTTTATGTGCAGAATCTCAAAATGAATATACTCCCCTTCCAACATAATGCTGTGTCTTAACTACGCTCTCTGGGGAGCTTCACAGCCCATCTAAGTAACCTCTCAGGTAGGAGAAAGGAGAAGTGGCTTCCTCCCAGGATCTTTTGTACAGGTGGGAAGTAGGAGAGCCAGGAGTGGAATCCAGAGGTGCTGACTGAGATGGGGACTCTTCCAAAGCACCGCATGGTTACATCTCCATCCTCTGCTTCCCTGCCCTGGACAGAAGCCTAGTAGATGGGGAAAGAATACTGCAGGAGGAGGTGGGAGTCCCACGTATGTCAACGTCATTGAAATCTTTTATTTATTTATTT